CAAATTTATGGAGACAGGATGCACACTCCTCCTCATCTGTTGCATGTGATGACAGCTCCTTGGCCATTCTCTATGTGGGGCATAGATTTTATTGGACAATTTTTTCCCAAAACTTCAAATGGCCATCATTTCATTTTGGTAGCAATAGATTATTTTACCAAATGGGTAGAAGCAGTTTCTTATGCAAACATTACTCAGTCCACAGTTTGTAAATTCTTGAAAAATGAAATCATTTGTCGATATGGTCTATCAGAAAGGATTATTACCGACAATGCTTTGAATTTAAACAACAAAATGATGAAATCAGCCTGTGAACAGTTCCAAATAAAGCATCATAATTCCACCACTTATCGCCCAAAGATGAATGGAGCGGTTGAGACAGCTAATAAAAATATTAAGAGGCTTATAGAGAAAATAACTGAAACTTATAAGGATTGGCATGAGAAACTACCATTTGCTCTATTGGCTTATCGAACTTCAGTACAAACATTGAATGAATCAACTCTATTTTCATTAGCCTATGGGATTAAAGCAGTCCTACCTATTGAGGTAGAAATTCCTTCACTACGAGTTTTATCAAAGGTAAAACTAGATGAGATAGATTGGGTACAAGCCAGATTTGACCAATTGAATTTGATTGAAGAAAAGATATTGAAAGCTATTTGTCATGGTCAGATGTACCAAAAGGCAGATGATACGAGCACATGATAAGAAAGGTCCTTGAAATAGGTGATGCATATTTTGCCTCTATTGGGGAAAAGAGAAAATAAAAGATGTCCGAACATGAAGCATTTCACATTCTTGAAAGCAAGTAGCCTGTTAGATCAGAAGGGCTGGATGATAGAACTTGTAATCTTGTGATGTTGTCTGCAAACCGTCAAGAAGAAGATGATCACCTCATTCGGAAGAGGCACATATTTCATACATTTTTGTCAGAAGGATTGATCACTTTTTAAGTTTGTGACAATATGAAGAGAATCCCTCAAGTTACTTGACAACACTGCTGTTTAGTAACACTAGAATGAAAGCATTCAAGATTAAGAGATTTGGGCACGAATAGAGCCACGAGTACCCACAATGGGGCATTATCAAAGTTGGACCTCGTGGGGATCATGTGATTCAAATCAATCAGACATTGAGAGTAATCCTTACAATTTAGAATGTTGAGACATTTTGAAGGCTCGTTTTAGTCAGAAATAACAATGTTGGGGCATTTTGAATTCCCATGTCATCTAGAAGCAAATGTTGGGCCATGTTGTGGAAAAATCATTGATTTGAGAAAATACTTTCAATGAGACAGAAAGGTATGAAGAATGAAAATGGTGAAACGGTGACAGTGGAGCTGACCATATATGATCATTTTGTCCCTCATATAGTTGCATTCTCCTGGTGTTTTCACCTATATTGATGTTGAAAAGCCAAAATGTCCTACTTGTATTTCGAATGAGCTTTGTTTTTAAGTGTCTTTGTGACGTCATACAAAAACTCTGAAAATGATACAAAGAGTTTCCCTGGTTGAAAAATCTAGGCAGAAGCCACAAGAGATAATGAATGTGTTGTCAAATGTTTTATGAATCAGTAAGTATGGTGCTGAACCAATGTTGTGATCATATGGTATTCCCATTTTTACTCAAGATGAAGTTTGTCTTCTTCAACTCAAAGGTTCAAAATGAGAAATTTTGAAGATTTCTTTCCATAGAGGGGCACTGAAATTTTCAAGAAACTAGTAGAGCCAACTAAGATTAAATGATGGGCTGTTGCTAAATGTTTGAGATCTGATTAGAGGTGGAAACATGAAAGGAATTAGGAAAAATTCCCTTAGATGTGTTTCAAGAGTCAAATCAGAATAAATGATGTTTTCCTTAAAATGGTAGATCTTCCTTTAAAAAATAAGAGCTTTATTTAATTTTTACACAAGTTTAGCAGGGGCAAGAACTTACTATGGATAAGAAGAAATTGATACAACTCTATACTTGCAAGAGTGTACGTTGATGCAAGCGGAAAAAAATGAAGATCGCTTTTGGCATCTATTCCCCTCATAGTCAATACTTAACTTCCTCGTGAAGAGAAGTCAACTTTTGTTATTTCCTAACTCCCTAGAGGAGCCAAGCCTTGATTTCCTCGTGAAGAGATGTCAACTTGTGTTATTTCTGACTCTCCAGTAGAGTCAATTTTTGACTTCCACGTGAAGAAAAGTCAATATTGCAAATTTGGTTTTCCTGACAAAGCAACAAATCAAATCAACTTTGAATTTGATTTTCACGGAAGAGTAGTGGAACAAATTCTTCTTATTTCAGATTTGGTCTCCACATAAGAGTAGTGGAAGCAAGTCAACATTCAGTCTGATCTTCTCTGAATGAATAGTGGAGCAGATATGTCTTCAAAATTGATCTATATACCCGAAAAAGTGGTAAAGATCCAGACTGATCTTCTCTGAATTAATAGAGGAGCAGATACGTCTTTAAATTGATTTGTATACCCGAAAAGTGGCACAGATCCATTTTGATCTTCTCTGAATAAATAGTGGAACATATTCTTATTATTTTCAATCATCCAGCCTTCACGGAAGAGTAGTGAAGTAAATCATTCAAAGCCTTTATAAAAGAGTAGTAAAACAACCCAACCTTCATGGAAGAATAGTGAAGTAAATCATTTTTAGCCTTCACGGAAGAGTAGTGAAGCGATACAAATCTAGCCTTCACGAAAGAGTAGTGAAGCAGGAACATATCAAAAGTTTGATCTCCACGGAAGAGTAGTGGAACGGATTTTTTAAGTAGTCAATTGGACGAAAACTTCTTGTCTTTTTATCTTTGCTATATTCTTGTTAACACAAAAAAAAGCAAAGAGGGGCAACTGTCGACAGTCGTTTTCATCCGAGTTTCGTTTTATATTATTATTATTACTATTATTAATATTATTATTATTATTATTTATTACTACTACTATTATTATTATTATTATTATTATTACATAAACTTGGAGGCCCAAATAAACAAATCAATTCCGGAGGCCCAATTACAAAGCAAAATCCGGAGGTCCAATTACAAGTCCAACCTAGCAGATCCAAACCCAAGAAGGCCCAAACTCGATTAGGGTTTCTCATGCTTCTCCAACCGCCTCATCACCACCGTTCGATCAAAGAGGAAATGGAGGGCCCAGATGAAGCTTACAGAAACCATAGGGTTTCATCATTACCCTAGGTTATCAGCTCGCCACCACCAACGATCTACAACCGTCCAAGTGTTCCACTCCGACGCTGCCATGCCACCACCGCCTTAGCAGAAGACTCCAGAAGTCGCAGGAGAGTCGCACACCTCACTACCCTATGGTGAGTCACCATCGTAGATCCGATGACTCACCGGGGTTCCCTCTGTTAACCAGTTAAAGGGAGGCATCACGAGGCCTATAAAAGGCCATCGACCGAACTTGCAAAGAAAAAAAGAGACGACAAAAACGGACATAGATAGAGAAAAAACGGGGAGAAAGCTATGAAAATAGAAATCCATTCGAACAACAGCAAATAAGGGCAGCCAAACAACAACCAGAGGAAAAAACAAAAGAAAGAGAAGAAACTTACCGAGAAGGCCAAACGTCGTCGGGTTTTTCGAAGATAAACATTTAGATCTACGTCAATCTATGAGCTTTTAGGAGGAAGGAATTTCAGATTTGGGACTAGGGTAAATCGGGCTTCAATTTGGAGTGTTTTCCAGAATTTCGGCCACCGTGAACGGTGACCGACGGTGTTCGAAATCGGCAACGGACAGTGGTCGGCCAGTGGCCAGATTTCCTCTGGTGGGAGGTTTTTAGAGAGAGAGAGAGAGGAAGTGAGAAAATGAAAGAGAATGGCCTCAAATGGTCGATTTTAGGGCTTTTATACCCCTTCCCAAACGATGCCGTTTTGGGAGGGGTATTTGTGTAATTTTTTAATGGGAAAATCCCTCTCGCAATCCATGTACTTTGTAAGTCTTCTATTTTAGTCACTGAAATCATTTTTCTGAGTATTTTAATTCGGTCTTCGCGTTTTATTTTATCATGTTTTAGTCACTGCCCATATATTTATGTATTTTAGGTAAAATTGCATATTTAGTCCTTAGAATTTCTAATAACTTATATTTTAATCCCGAATTATAATTTAGGTTAAATTATACTGTTAATGTTTATATTTTATGGTATTTCGAATTATACCCTTTAATTTCGATATTTTGCATTTTAATCTCTATAATTTTAATTTGTTTTTTATATAGATTCGGGTCATATTATTTTATACAATAGATCATAAAATATCTCCTTAATTGATTAGGAATGTATTCTAAATGATTTATTGGTATAAAATAATATCTTTAATGTTTTTATGGGATCATAAAATTAAATTAAATTCATATTTGGAAATTTTTACTACAAATACAAATTAATTACTGAACAACGGTACTAATTTTGGGCGTTGTGGGAGTGTTAATCATTCTCCACACGTAACCGACTCCCGAACTCATTTTCTGGTAAGCAGACCCTTTTTTGTGCTATTTTAATATTATTCTTATGAATTTTATTAAAATAACATAATATTTTGGTGACCAATCACACCTTGATAAATGATTGTTGGCGACTCTTCAAATTAGTGTTTTATCTTTTGCCAGAAGATAAACACTTGTATTTTTCGAGACAGCTACACTTATGTGTACAATTTGTTTTTTTCGCCGGGCAAATAACGTCTCGACAATCATCACATCAGCTGCCACGTCATTTCCACATCAGCTGCTAACTAGATGCCATGTCGGGTGTGTCATGTCTCAAGTCGTGCCCACTAATCCGACCATGAATCAAGAAAAATAAAAAATTACACGATTTCGTTGTTCTTAGCATAATTTCTGGAATTCAATGTCCTGTATCGAAAATGAATGAAAAAACCCAAGTTAGCAACTAAAATTATCTAATCAATGAGTAATTAATAATAAAATAATGTATAATTTAAACACTAATCAATTATATGATTGTACTTTCAGATATTTCCTATAAACATAAAGGGTTCAGGAGGAAGCCTGGTGAATTTGCTAAACTGGGCAAGTTCTTGGGTTGTTTCATATACTTTCACTTTTCTCTTTGAATGGAACTCAGCTGGTGATTTTCCTTGTGACCCATTTTTACCTTTCCAATGTTGTTTTCTTGAGATTTTCTGGGATTTTAAATGTTTTTTTTTCTTTCAGGAACATTCTTCATCTTTGCCTTCATCGGTGTTGTTGCGATTATATTCATCGGAAAGCTAGTTCCGGAGACCAAGGGAAGAACACTAGAGGAATTACAAACACATCAATGACTCCAAATCAAAGTATCAGTGGATTGAATCGATACAGATATTACATATCTATAATATTTCATTATAGACTACATAACACAAGATTCTGCCAAGAAAACACTACACACCATCCGTTATATATAACGCTTATCGATGCCCAAAATCTTAGACCTTGCAGTAAACTTCAAGTTCAGTAAAAACACCTAGAGCTGCTATCTGAGAAGCGTAATGTTGCAGATATTCGTCGTAGTCGAAGAGTTTGAAGAGCGAGCCATTTTTGCCATCCACAAACTCTTCAGGAACCTTTACAGGGTAGCCTCCTCTCGGGTTTGCGAAAACTGCGATGCTATATCTTACCTTGTTTCCTTTCGTCACGACCCGATTATAAGGTACAGACAATAGGACGTTTAACCATACCTACAGAGAAAGTAAAGGGACATATCATACCGATAATCCGCTAGTACTTCTAAACAATACTAATCAAACCGACCAAAAAGGTATCGATGTCATAATGACTTACACCAAGGGACTCGCCGCTCAAGATTATGAAAGAGTTTGGCGGTGGCTTTATGTTGATCCATTCGCCATCTTTGGTTAGAATCTCCAATCCTTTCATCTCGTTTTGATACAAAAGAGTTATCCAAATCTTGTTAGTATGTGCATCTGCTCCAAGGGTGGGTTCGTTGCCGGTTTGTGGCCTTCCATATTTAATTGCCCTCAGGGTATAATTAGTGGCATAGATGAGTTCATCCGTGTATTTCTCGACGCCAAAACTCTCCAAAACCATCCTCATAATCGTCTTCTCTAATCCCGCTGCTAAGTGTGTAAAGGATTCAATAGTTTTGCTGTCTAAAGAAAATTAAAAAATGAATTCCGGAAAAGCGAGACAGAATGGAAACGTAATTCACCTGAAGTTTATGCTTCCTTGAGGCCACAAGATGTTGGTGAGGCCTCGATCGATGTTTCCGGGAACATGTGCTTCATCGATCATCACGCTTTCACGCAGTAGTTTTGCCATAGCATCATGGTAGCCACCAAATGGTCTGTCGGAAGTGAAAAGCTGTTTCGTTTTTAAAGGAAGGTCAAAGAGCTCTTCCATGGCTCCAAACACCGCCTTTCGAACCTCCGCGAGTTTGTCGAACAACGCCTCGAAACCGCCATACTCCTCGAGTGCTTCTCGGACTTGGAGTTTCACCAGATCCCATTAAGGGCTGCCTTTCATATTTGTTTCGAAGATGGTGCCGGAGATGAAGGGGCGAACGCTTGAAGGCATACAAGCATCAGTTTCTAGAAGTCCGTAGTGAGGACTGAGAACAAATGTACGATAAGTAAACTACAGTAGAATGAATTGTAAAATGTTTTAGGGTAAGTACAAAAATAGTCCCAAACTATATAGCATTATTTTGTTAAATATTTTAACTACTAAAAATTATAAAATGGTCTTTATTTTGGATATTTTGAATAGGCACCCAGATCGACACTTAAAGGATCGACACATTCCGTATAATATATTTTATTGTAATTTTTTAATATTCCGAACTATCTTTATTTTGGTGACATGTGCCTGTTATTTTAATACACTGGTTTTATAACCTACTTCCTATCACCTCTGAGGATCGATCTTTTACTCATTCGAAATCAGAGGAGAGAAATTTTACCACTTGTCCAGACTTAGTGCACCTATTTCTTACTGTATATTCGTGCATTTTCCATATGCTTTTTTTACCGTCGGAATGCAGGCCTTCATAATAATCAAGGTTTCTCTTGTAGCCGATGATATCCTTTTGACCCAAACGGACAACGGGTTTCTCGTCCGCCGTCGGTTTCCAGTATCCGTCACCGTTTCCCGCCGCACGATTCGGCCTCTTTCCGTTCGGGTATTTTCTATTCCTCGGTGTGAAAAAATACCACTCCTCTCCTCCGTCACTTTGCTTGTATTGTTCTGCCACAATCATGAAAAATAATACGAACGACATACGAATCAAAATAACATACGAAGATTCGGATTATATAAAAATATATGAAAATAACACAAATATGATACTAATATCGAGATTATGATTTAATTTACTTACGAGTAAGTTGGGATGGAGTACTGCCATAGAGATCAACTTCATGAATGTTCTTATTAGGAGGTAAGGGCATATCGTTAAGCTTTTTTATCAAGTAATGCTCAATCAACTCTGCATCGGTAGGGACGAACCGAAACCCGACCGGATAATCTTTATAAATGGTGGCGAAGTCATCACCTTCGTGAGCGAAGATTTCACGGCTTTCGACGGCGGCACCTCCATGATTCACGGCGGCAGAAGAATTTTGCTGGTTACTAACGTTTTCCGCCATTGCTTGAATATCAAGTATGGTAAGAGAGAAGAGTCACTAAAATAATATTTGGTTATCTAGCTTCTTTTACCAGAATTACTATGAACTTAAGCTTTTATATACAAAAAAAACATTATTTTATAAATTACATGTCACCTATTTCTACTGAGACTATAAGTTTTAAAATATTATATTATAATATATTATATATTAAAATATAACATTATATTATAAAATATTTCCTATATTTTCTACTTTTAGTAGGAGTGTCTAACGTCATTTCAGGTATTTTAAGTTTATCTTATATATATATATATATATATATATTATTGTAGATTATTTATTTTATATAGGTTCTGAAATAAATAATAATAATTCAGATTATATGTTTAAATAGAAATAAAACCTTACCAATTGTTTTTAGAGAAAATAACCTCAGTGACCAAAAATCCCAGATAATATACGATTTTGATCAATTTTTTTTGGATTTGCGAAAATGACCAACAAAATCGCAATGCGATCTCCACTATCGCAAATTCGCGTTGCATTTCGCGTTGCGATAATTGAAAATCGCGTTGCGATTTTCCAGTTCGCGTTGCGATAGTTGAAAATCGCATTGTCTGGGATTTTTGGAAAATCGCAACGACAACTGTAGACTATCGCAACGCGAATTTGCGATAGTGGAGATCGCAATGCGAATTAAAGATCGCATTGTGATTTTGTTGGTCATTTTCGCAAATCCAAAAAAAGTTGGTCAAAATCGTATATTATCTGGGATTTTTGGTCACTGAGGTTATTTTCTCTTGTTTTTATCTACAACGGTTTAAAAATATATCATTGCCTAGGGAATCGGGTTCATGTAATTATTTTTACTTATTTTATTATGATTGAAAACGAACCGAACATTCAGTGAATCGTTTAGCGGAAAATTCATTTATGTTTGTTTATTTATTAAACGAATGAATATGAACAATATTTATGTCCGTTTAGTTAAATGAACGAACACGAACAAAAGACTTGTTCATTCATTTACGTTCGTGAACATTCGATAATCTGTCCGTTTATGTTCGTTAATTTATGTTCTCCAGATCCGTTTGAAATATTAAGACTTAATAAATTTTAACCTTAAATCCATTAATAGTTTTTAAACTCAATTAATTTTAAACTCAAATAAAAAAAATACTTAAATCAATTAAAAATATAAACCCTTAAATTATTTAAAAAAAAACTCTTCTCAAATATAATCCCAAATAATTTTATGGCTTTTACGTTCGTTCATTTGTATTCGTTTAAGTTCGTTCATTTGTGTTAGTTTATCATTGAAACAAACATAAACAAACACAAATAAGCTAAATTTCTTAATGAGCGAATACAAACAAGAAATTCCATTCGTTTAATTATTAGTATTCGTTCGTTTGTTCGATTAAAATTAAAATAACGAACATGAAATACTTCGTTCATGTTCGTTCGGATAGTTTACAAACCTACAATTATAATAGTTCGTAGAATTGTAGAAATATCCACGGTGATTAATTGTAGAAATATTACTAATTATAATATTTATTTTATTTTAATTTAAATATTAATAGAAAATATATTTAATTTTGTATAAAAAAAATTCGATTTACTTCCTACCTTTTTGGGTTTATTTCTAGTAGTTTATATATTTTCGGTAAAGTATATAAATAGTGTACAAACCTTTAGGGTGCTTGTATTTTGGTCACCAAACTTTTAAAATTTACAATACAATCATCAAATTTTTAGTTCGTTTTCATTAAATTCCTTACTGTTATTTCCCATTAATTTTTACCGACGTGATAGTTAACCCTCCGTTAACCTTCTTTTTTTGCTGACGTGACAGATTCTTCTTCTTCTTCACCGGTTGACATTAATGCAACCAGTCATTCATAGTCCCTAGCTTTAAGTCCTGATTTCACAAACACAAATGGAAACTAAACATTTGTACATAACTAACATTTACAAACTGAAGATCCACGAGCTTCGAACCAAACAAAGATCGCCAAACCGAAGAAAACTCATCGAAACCAGTTTTTTCTCGTGATTCAAGATAATTGAGCGATCAGTTTATTTGGATCAGAACGAGCTTCATTATAAAGTCTCGTGATTCTTTCTCGAATGCCTTCCATCTAATTTCATGAGTTAGCATTCTTACATGCCTTCCAGTTTCTTCTTGAGTGAGAACAAGGCACATCTCCCTGTCAAGCTGTTTCGCCTTGTTCCTCAGAAACAATTCACGAGTTTTAACACTCAACAAATCGGGAATGATGTGTACAAGCATCACAACAGCTACACATGATACAAGAGCACAAGAAACCTTTGCAATGGTCATCACCACAGCAACAACTTTAGTGCGCAATACTGTGCATAGTGAATGTCCACAAGTTTATAAAGTGGGTTGCTCCACAAAGAATGATGAAAGCACCTAATTGCATAAGCACCCATCGATACGGGAAGAATGTCACACCCGGAAATTTTTGAACTTTTTTAATTATTAAATTTTAATTAAGGGACCATTTTGAGCGATATTAGAAAATTGATAACTGTTCTTCAAACTTCCTTTTTGTTCAGTGGCTTAACTCATGAATTACCATTTTTCCCTTAACTCTGAAAAGTAAAATAATTTGTGTGGTTCTAAGATGGAACCCATATCCTGCCTTAATCTAACCTAAGCCTTCGTCATTTAGGCTAGGCCATTGTAGCTAACAGGATTTAGTAAACAAATATCTTTAATATTTTTAGTCAGGAATTCAAATCATCAGTGCGTTTGGTTCACAATTTAAGATTATCGGTGGGAATATGATTACTGGTAGGAATAAGATTACTGACAATATTATATTTTGTGTTTGGTTCATTTAGTAAGAATATAAGATTATAGTGTTTGGTTAAAAGAATAAAAGATTATTGGAATATATATTTTACTAAATTGTCTTTATTATATATTTATTTTTTTAACAAGTTGAATTCTACTATAATATTATTATAATTAATTTATATTTTTTCTTTAAAAATTTTAAATTCATACAATTTATATATTTTTTTACAAAATTGAAAAGATAAATAGGTTTAATGAAAGGGTAAAATTTTATTTTAACCACTGAAGTTCATATAAAATTCTAATTATGGATTTTTTTTTGTAAATCTAAAATAGTTTAAGGATAAATTTGTAATTTAACATTTGCAGAATTTTTTTATTCAACGATAGAAGAAGGATAGTTTTGAGAAAAAAGATTTAAGGGCATTTTAGTCCAAAACACCGGGAATATAACAATACCTAAGAGAAGGGGATAATCACATAACCGGTAATATACCCCCAAAATATCACTGTTGGGAATAACTTATTATCGGGGGCTGGGAATGTTTGACAACCAAACGGGGGAATGACATTTCATTCCCCCGGTAATGTGAAATTTCTTGAACCAAACGCCTCCTAAAAGTTAGAGCCAAATCCCCAATTTCGTGAAAACCCTAAAGTTCCGAAAAACATCAACACACATACTCTACCTCATCGTGATTCACCCTGTCTCCGGCCGGTGGTGGCGTACACCGCCACCACCAACTCGTTGCCCGTCGTCACCCATTTAAAACACCTTTGGTTATTTCCTGAGAGTAACCGTAATCGACGTAGAGAACCCGATGAAGGATCATAAAAATCTAAAAACCCCGTTGTTTCTCCTTGCGATTTCGACCACCACAGGCGACTGTAGGTCGTGCCGTCACCACCAACGTGACCGCCATCTGACGCCGAGCAAAACCTGACCAGTCTCACCCCATTTAGGGTCGTCGATCGCCATGAATCAACTATCAAATTAACATAAAAAAACCTTAAACTCATCACGAGTTTTGTCAATTTTGCGTCGATTTCGAGTTCCGTTCGTCTCACCGCCACTGCCATCAGAATCTCCTCTCAATTCCGATCAAAACCCCCAGTTGGTTTTGTTTGCCTCCTTCGTCGTTTTCTCCAACCACCGTTGGGGAAAGCTTTGGTTGCTTTATTTTTAATTTCCGTCGATAATGGACGCAAAGTACTCTCTTAGGTTGCCTCTTGGATCCTTTGGGCCTAAGATAAGTCCTTATGGAGTGTAGTTATGAGGAACCACATTTGGTGTAAGATTAGATGGTAACTCAGTAATTTTACTGAAAATTGTACTGCTACTTTCATTTTATAAAACTGAAATGATTTTTAAAATTATTCGTATGTTTTACTTTGCACTGTTCGAACAAACTGGGCTCTCTAGCTCATTCCCCCATCTTTTCCCTTTTCAGATATTTTGGATAGGCACCCAGATCGACACTTAAAGGATCGACACATTCCGTATAATATATTTTATTGTAATTTTTTAATATTCCGAACTATCTTTATTTTGGTGACATGTGCCTGTTATTTTAATACACTGGTTTTATAACCTACTTCCTATCACCTCTGAAGTATGTATTAATTTTGTCACTGGTTATGGGTACATTTTTTTTTCACTGGTGATTTTATTTTTTATATTACTCGTTTTGGGTTTTTTTGGTTTTTAAAGTGTTAAAAATGTTTTAAAAATGATCGTATTGTATAGACCGGGTTAGGAGTTACAAAGAATGAAGAATTTTTGACAAAATAGATAGTTCCATTATGAGACAATAACAGCTCAAAATCTGAAAAGGAAAAAAAAAGATTTGGTGAGTGGAGAACCGAGTCAGGTGAGAAAGAATCACGAGATCCAGCTAAACTGATCGCTCATTGATCTTGAATGGCGAGAAAAAACTGGTTTCGATGAGTTTTCTGTTAAGATAGTAACAAAGCTATCTTATTCTACAGAATGAACAATAGAAATAAAGGAAAATAGAACAGAAAGAATGCTTCAGTAATCATTTTATAAAACTGAGTATATCCTCAACCAAGCACGATGACTAGTTATTTATACTAAGCAAAGCCGACGATTAAAGAGAAAGAAAACAGCTAAGAATTGACAGCTCACCAAAACTCTAACCTCTCAATCAACTTCTAACAGATTCAT